TAGGGAGCTTGGCATTGGAATCGTTGCATACAGTCCTTTAGGACGTGGATTCTTTTCTGTTGGCTCTAAGTTATTGTAGAATTTCACTGAGAATGACTATAGACGGGTTTGTTTCTGCTGATCAGCATAACTAGATGCTCACAGTAACTGTCATTCTTGTTGAAGTGTGCAGGGAACTACGAGTTCTTGTGGTATTCAAAAAAAGTACCTGGAGGGGATGGATAACAATTGGTGACACAAATGCTTTATATTCTTATGTGTCCTCTCCAGCACTAGCCCTACACCCACATCTCTGATTCTTAATTAGTGTAAAATCATAATTAATGGCTTAATGAGCCTGAAAGATGCAGTTTCCCGATTCTCATGCTTTTGGGAATATACAGATATAGACTTACTTGTAAGTTCTTGTTTCCCAGCCTTCCCACCATTTGCTATTCACTATCCTTTCCTCCGTTTCCGCCCATCCTTTTTTCTTTCATCTTTCTTCATAAGATGAGGCATATTTCCTCAGCATAAGCGACACCGGTATCCAGCCTTAGCTTCTGTCCTTTTTTATTCTCATCTTTCTTCACAGGATAAATTATATCTTGACAAAACCAGTTCTTGACTGAGGACTCCCTAACACCCTTTTTTGGAAGTTTTGGGATCAAGTTCCTATCTGACATAAAGCCAATTGTGGATTACTTCCCGCGATTAGTGTTTGACTTGTGCCCGGCAAGTGAAGTAGCTACTGTTTTTAAGCTAATCGAGCTTTACTTCCGATAATATTCTTCTACAATTCATGTAGATTTGTGATTTCTTTCTTTTGAGTGTTATGAATAAATTCCATCACATGTAGGTAGATTGTCGCTTTTGTTTCTGTTGTCACATCTTACATCAAAACCATCAGCCTTGCGTGGTAGTTGCTGAAGCACTTCTCTCCACATTTTGAATGCTTAAAATTTTGAACAAGATAATCTAATTCTTTCAATCATTCTTTCCAGATACACAGTGATTGCAAACTTCCAAATGCTTATCGTATCAAGTAACAAGACAATTTGATTGCATGCGATGCAACCACTTCTAGTATTGGTTGCACTTGTTGCTGTAGAATTTGGTGCTAAAAGGAAAATGACAGTTGCTCATATGTTCTCCACTGAGACAGTGCTCTATGTTATGCAGTCCATACCAAGGTTCCAGCCAGAGAACTTCGCTCACAATGCGAAGCTATTCGACCAAGTGAATGAAATTGCGCAAAGAAAGGGATGCACCCCGTCGCAGTTAGCCCTCGCCTGGGTACACCACCAGGGTGACGACGTCTGCCCGATTCCCGGCACGACCAAGATTGAGAATTTCAACCAGAACATTGGAGCTCTGTCCGTGAAGCTTACACCTGAAGAAATGGCTGAGCTGGAATTGATTGCTTCTGCGGACAATGTCAAGGGTGGCAGGTACCCAAGCAGCGTGCCTACGTGGGAAAAATCTGATACTCCACCCCTGTCTTCATGGAAAGCTGCTTAGGAAACATGTCTGCTTATGTTGCCGCATCTTTTATATACAGAGTTTGAGCATTTGCTGCTAAAGTATTTTGAGGCTTGTGTTGTGTCTGTTATAAGTACGTGTATGAAGAGAGTGCTTATTATCCTGTAATAAAATCTGGACTTGAGAGAGTAACTGTTATCATTTTGTAAAAATGACATTCACTATGAGAAGATTAAAGATGTGTAGGAAGCTTATCGGGGGAAGATGACTCAAATTATAAATGTGTAGAGAGCTTATCAGGGAAAGATCACTCAAAAAAATGCAGAGCGAGTTGAATATTGTTTTAATGATAATTACGTATAGAAGAGAGATAAAAGAAGAGAAAAGGGACACTCAATCGTTAACTTGGTTTAGACGACCAAGAGTATAATCCCTTGGAAGCTTACATCCACGGTGGTAAATCCCCAATTCATCTTATTTTCTTTAGGATGATTCATTATCCTTTAATAGAAAGCAATACAATGGGTTTCAATCATAATTTGGTAACTACATCTATCGCATAACCAGTATGATCTCCTACTATATTGGGATTATGATGATTTGGCATCCTTATTGTTCCAACACTTCCCCGCCAAGCTGGAGCGAAGACATCCTCAGAGTTCAGCTTGGATATCATATTCTGGAAAACACTTTTAGAGAGAGCCTTGGTGAATACATCTTCAAGTTATTCATCACTACGGACATAGGGAGTTTCAATTGTCTAGTCTTGAACCTTTTCACGAACAAAGTAACAATGGACTTCTATATGTTTTGTCCGTTTACGGAAAACTGGATTTGAAGCAATATGGATTGCGGCTTGATCATCACAAAATAACTTAATAAGAGACATAGGGGTTCCAAACCCCAATTCTTGCGCAAGCAATCGAAACCAAACCATTTCACTTGTAGTTGACGCCATGGCTCTATATTCGGCCTCTGTACTGGATCTTGCCACAATAGTCTGTTTTTTACTTTTCCAAGTTACTAAGTTGCTGCCTACAAAGGTGCAAAAACATGTAGTTGATTTTCTGTCCGTAGGACTCCCAGCCCAATCTGCATCAGTGTACCTTACAATACCAGTATGACCATGTTTCTTCATCAAAATACCTTGACCTGGACTGGACTTTAGGTGCCGAAGTATGCGATCCACAAGCACCATATGTTCTTCAGTAGGAGCATGCATGACTTGGCTTACATAGCTGATAGTAGAAGCAATATCTGGATGAGTAATGGTTAAGTAAATTAGCCGTCCAACCAAACTTTGAAACTGACTACTATTGGGTAAGGGGGTGACGTTGTCCACAAACTTAGTGTTATACTCCATGGGAGACGCTACAGGAGCAGGTCTAATTTTCCCAATCTCTTTTAACAAGTAAAGAGTATATTTCCTTTGAGAGATGAATAATCATTTACTAGAATAAGCCACCTCTATACCAAGAAAATAGTGCAGGCGTCCCAAATCCTTGATGTCAAGCTTCAACTTCAAGTGCCGCTTGAGAGCCTCGATTTCATGAAGATTATCACTGGTAATAACTATATCATCCACGTAGACAAGGATAGCCACCGTTCCTTTGGCACTTCGCTTCACAAACAAGGAGGAATCCGAATCACACTTTTTGAAACCCACACTTTCAAGAGCGGAACTTAATTTTTATACCAAGCACATGGCAACTATTTGAAGCCGTACAGGGCTTTATTAAGCTTGCAAACTGCATTTGGTTGATTTTCTAAAGGATGTCCAGGAGGAATGTTCATATAAACTTCTTCTTCCAGTTCACCTTGTAAAAACACATTTTTAATGTCAATTTTAAAGAGTGGTTACTGCTATAGACATCAATACTCTCATTGTGTTCAATTTTGATATGAGAACAAATGTTTCTTTATAGTCTTCACCATATGTTTGAGTGTAGCCGTTACCAACAGGTCTTGCCTTGCGACGCTCAATGGAACCATCACTCTCGTATTTAATTTTATACACCCATAACGGAACTCTTTCCTTCAGGTAAGGTAACGATATCCCAACTGCAATTTTTATCGAGTGCTTTCAGCTCTTCTTTCATAGTATCTCGCCACACTTGAGAACTTCTAGGTTCAAGAAAAGTAGCAAGTTCTTTCTAAGCATCAACAGCTGATAAAAAACATGGAAGGCAGGCGAAACTTTATCATAGCAAATATAATCATATACAGGAAATCGAGCATAATGATAAGTGGTGAAGTCACGAAGTTTGGTATATGGCTGTGAAATCCAAGTGGTCCTCTGAATAGGAGCAGGAGTGGCAGAAGCAAGTGTAGGCTCTTCTATATCAACAATTTCATCCACTTGCTCTGGAGCAATAGCAAGATCACTGTTAGCACTGATGCGATCAGTTACAATCGACAAGGGAGCAACTTCAACATCGAACCCACTATAGTCTAAGTCAGTGTCACTATTCTCTCCCTGAAGGTGATCCCTATTAGAAAAAAACAAATGATTCTCATCGAAGACAACATCACGAGAGATAAATACCTTCTTAGTACATGGATTGAAACATTTATACCCCTTCTTGACAGAAGAGTAACCAATAAAAACACACTTGCGAGCACGAGGATCAAGTTATCCCCCGGGAGAGTGAACAAAACAAACACTTCCAAATATTCGAAGATGTGAAATATTCACAGGTCGCCCAATAAGCACCTCCATTGGAGACTTGTAGTGTAAGATCTTACCGGGGAGACAATTAATCAAATAACAACTAGTGAGCATCGCATCTGACCAACATGTCTCAGAAAAGTTATCATGAAATAACAGAGCTCTTGTCACTTCAAGTAGGTGACTATTTTTCCGTTTGGCTACTCCATTTTGGTGAGGGGTGCCAACACGGGAGGTTTGATGAACAATTCCCAAAGACTTAAGAAACGACTCAAAATGATGGTTTGTATATTTAGTCCCATTACCAGTTTGGAGAATCTTGATATGCTGATCATATTGAATGTGAACCATATTACAAAATTCTTGAAACACTTTTAACACTTCACTCTTAGAGGTCAATAAATAAATCCAAGTGATGCGGGACTTATCATCAATAAAAGTAACATAATATTTAAAATCATTACGAGAGATCACAGGAACATTACCCCAAACATCAAAGTGTATTAATTCAAAGAGTTCTTGTGAAACATGTGTGCTAGAGGTAAAAAGCAGTTTATACTTCTTCGAATAATGACAAGTTTCACAATGACTTGAATCAAGATAAAAATCGGCATTCAAATTATGCAGCACATTATCTGAGGGGGTGTCCCACGCATAAATGCTTGGTTGAAACTTTAATTTAGTTTAGAAAAATAGGGACATAACCTGTTCATGTTTATAATTGGGGTTAGAGTTGGTGCAATGTTGTCCCGTTTGTTTTGTTTCTTTTGTCTTTGTCACTTTCTAAGCCGTATTCCGGACCAAAATGATTTTGAGGAATCGGCAGCATCTCCACCAAGGTTGGTGTCTTATCCACGGTGTTTGCGGACAAGACGGCGTGGAATCAACTCTCCTATAGTAAGCTAAGCTCGGCTCCACCCATCATCTCCGTCATCGTCTCAGTGCTGCAGGAAGCCATCAGAGCTTCCTTCTCCGTTCTCTTCTTTGCATCCACCTCGAGGTAGACGACGGCAGCGGCGGCGGCGATGGCTGCGTCGACGACGGTGAGGAGGATCAAGCTGGGGTCGCAGGGCCTCGAGGTCTCCGCGCAGGGGCTGGGCTGCATGGGCATGTCCGCCCACTTCGGCCCTCCCAAGTCCGACCCCGACATGATCGCCCTCATCCACCACGCCGTCGGCTCCGGCGTCACCTTCCTCGACACTTCCGACATCTACGGCCCCCACACCAACGAGATCCTCCTCGGAAAGGTCTGCTTTTTAGATAACCCATTTCGAAAGTTCGCGGCTTTTTGGATCAACTAGCTGATATGTTAGTCGGGCCGTCTTTGTTTGCCTTCCTAATCTGATCTGTTTTCACGCTTGGGTGCGTTAAGCTTAGCCTCAGCTTCCGCTTGAAGTGGGTATGCTTATGGTGTTGTAATATTAGCTTGGTCGTGCGGAATTCTACGATCCCGCGTCTTGGCTGTCTTTTTTTCGGGAAAATTTTGGGTTTTTCTTGTGTTGATTTGGTGTGGATTTTGAGCAGGCGCTGAAGGGAGGGGTGAGACAGACGGTGGAATTGGCGACCAAGTTTGGAGTCAGCTTCGCAGACGGGAAGGCGGAGATCCGGGGCGATCCGGCGTATGTGAGGGAAGCTTGCGAGGCCAGCTTGAAGCGGCTCGACGCCGATTGCATCGACCTCTACTACCAACACCGTATCGACACTCGTGTCCCCATCGAAGTCTCTGTATGGATCCTCTCATGGAAACCGTTCCCTCTCTTAAGACTTTCTCCGAGCCGTATGATCAGTTGCTAAACTAGATTAGTGGTGATGAAGCATCCTCATGGTGTTCAAAGTTTGTTCGATTTTGTGGAAGAGATTAACTACTTGTAAGATACTGTTAAGTTCAATCGATTGTCGAGGTCCAGATGCGGCACGATGTTGTTAAAGAGGTCGTGGAATTTAGTAATGTTAGTGGCTGAGTTTGTCTTATGGGCATCTCTTGCAAGTTAAGGGTCAACGAGCATGAAAATTATTTGAAATGTTCCTTTGAGATGAAAGTGCTATGAGGTCATCCTAATTTAGATACGAGGATCACATTGAAAGTTGTTCCTGGACTTTCCGTGGAGACATTTGATTCTTGACATGTCATTGTGAAATATGAAAAATACTGGGAATACTTCTTTTATTTGCCCTCTTCAGTGATAAATTAGAGAAATCTATCCCCGTTAACTTAATGCCTAGCAACTTTTTTGTTGTTTTTAGATGCATAAAGATTGGCTAATCTTTGTTGTGTTGTCATGTGAATATTCAAAGATTGGAGAGCTAAAGAAACTCGTTGAAGAGGGTAAAATCAAGTACATTGGTTTATCTGAGGCCTCTGCGTCAACAATCAGGAGAGCACATGCTGTTCATCCCATCACAGCTGTGCAATTGGAGTGGTCGCTGTGGACAAGAGATGTGGAAGCAGAGATCGTTCCCACATGCAGGTAGATAATCACTCTGTTAGTTTGTTGATGCAGTAACAGCAGCTTTCTTCTGACTCTGCTCTTCCTTTAAATTGTTACTAGGGAGCTTGGCATTGGAATCGTTGCATACAGTCCTTTAGGACGTGGCTTCTTTTCTGTTGGCTCCAAGTTATTGGAGAATTTCACTGAGAACGACTTTAGACGGGTTTGTTTCTGCTGATCAGCATAACTAGATGCTCACAGTAACTGTCATTCTTGTTGAAGTGCAGGGAACTACAAGTTCTTGTGGTATTCTGAAAAAGTACCTGGATGGGATGGATGAAAATTGGTGACACAAATGCTTTATATTCTTATGTGTCCTCTCCAGCACTAGCCCTACACCCACCTCTCTGATTCTTAATTAGCGTAAAATCATAATTAATGGCTTAATGAGCCTGACAGATGTAGTTTCCCGATTCTCATGCTTTTGGGAATATACAGATATAGACTTACTTGTAAGATCTTGTTTCCCAGCCTTCCCACCATTTGCTATTTACTATCCTTTCCTCCGTTTCCACCCATCCTTTTCCTTTCATGTTTCTTCATAAGATGAGGCATATTTCCTCAGTATAAGCGACACCGGTATCCAGCCTTAGCTTCTGTCCTTTTTTATTCTCATCTTTCTTCACGGGATAAATTATATCTTGACAAAACCAGTTCTTGACTGAGGACTCCCTAACACCCTTTTTTGGAAGTTTTGGGATCAAGTTCCTATCTGACATAAAGCCAATTGTGGATTACTTCCCGCGATTAGTGTTTGACTTGTGCCTGGCAAGTGAAGTAGCTACTGTTTTTAAGCTAATAGAGCTTTACTTCCAATAATATTCTTCTACACTTCATGTAGATTTGTGATTTCTTTCTTTTGAGTGTTATGAATAAATTCCATCACATGTAGGTAGATTGTCGCTTTTGTTTCTGATGTCACATCTTACATCAAAACCATCAGCCTTGCGTGGTAGTTGCTGAAGCACTTCTCTCCACATTTTGAATGCTTAAAATTTTGAACAAGATAATCTAATTTTTTCAATCATTCTTTCCAGATACACAGTGTTTGCAAACTTCCAAAATGCTTATCGTATCAACTAACAAGACAATTTGATTGCATGCGATGCAACCACTTCTAGTATTGGTTGCACTTGTTGCTGTAGAATTTGGTGCTAAAAGGAAAATGATAGTTGCTCATATGTTCTCCATTGAGACAGTGCTCTATGTTATGCAGTCCATACCAAGGTTCCAGCCAGAGAACTTCGCTCACAATGCGAAGCTATTCGACCAAGTGAATGAAATTGCGCAAAGAAAGAGATGCACCCCGTCGCAGTTAGCCCTCGCCTGGGTACACCAACAGGGTGACGACGTCTGCCCGATTCCTGGCACGACCAAGATTGAGAATTTCAACCAGAACATTGGAGCTCTGTCCGTGAAGCTTACACCTGAAGAAATGGCCGAGCTGGAATTGATTGCTTCTGCGGACAATGTCAAGGGTGGCAGGTACCCAAGCAGCGTGCCTACATGGGAAAACTCTGATACTCCACCCCTTTCTTCATGGAAAGCTGCTTAGGAAACATGTCTGCTTGTGTTGCCGCATCTTTTATATACAGAGTTTGAGCATTTGCTGCTAAAGTATTTTGAGGCTTGTGTTGTGTCTGTTATAAGTACGTGTATGAAGAGAGTGCTTATTATCCTGTAATAAAATCTGGACTTCAGAGAATAACTGTTATCATTTTGTTAAAATGACGTTCACTATGAGAAGATTAAAGATGTGTAGGAAGCTTATCGGGGGAAGATGACTCAAGAAACACAGAGCAAGTTGAATACCAACCGAGCCCGCAATGCCAGTTCATCAGGGTGACTTTTAGAATCACGAAACCGGGATTTCGAGGAATTCAACTCCTCCATACATACTAGACCGACACTTTGTTCACCTCAATCATGAGTTCAATACTCAGACAGTGTGCAATGTTCTTTCGGGATTGGATGCTAGACAAAGAAGCAATTGCTAAGAGGAACTTTTTCTAAAACAGCACCATTGCTTCTCTTAAAAGACCGTCGAGGTTTCCCATGGGACTGTTGGGAGAGGCTCGATCGATCATCATACTTATCAAGAAGGTACCCATGTGTGGACTTTCTTGCTAGTTGCTATACATGTGGAGTTTCGACTCCTTTTTGTCAATTTTTCTTTCAGAAAAAAAAAGAGCAATAGGAGATTTCGAGCTTCACACTTGAAAAAAGGGCATTCTCTCGCAGAACGTGTGGATATTGTGAACTTGGGACTTTTTTTACCTGTCAATAGTAAATGGACAAAATTCCGTTGAACAAGTATCAAAAAACCTTGTCGGTCATATTATTGTACTATGTTTTATAATAAGAATCTTACTTTTGGCCAAAATCTTTTTAGTATTGTCCTTCCGTCTGAAAAAGCATATTACAAGATGCATGTGTGTTTCTTTGTATCTAGTGTCTATCTATTAGTGTATGATCAAGAAGGTGCCCATGTGTGGACTTTCTTGCTACTTGCTATACATATGGAGTTTCAACTCCTTTTGTCAATTTTTCTTTTGGCCTTTTGTATTATAGGAAAAGAAGAGCGGTAGGAGATTATGAGCTTCACAAAAAAAATAAAAATGAATTAGCTATCGTGAGTTCTCCACAAAAAGTGTGGATATTGTGAACTTGAACTTTTCTTATCTGTCAATATCTAAAGGACAAATTTCGCTGGACAAGTACCAAAGGAGCCTATAAGTTGTAATACTGTACCGTGTCTAATAAAAGCCATTACTTTTGGTCAAATTAGTCTTTGGGGGCGTTTGACAACTTGCCAAATAATGATAATTTCTGTTTTTTTGTTCCCAAAATTAGTTTGGGAATAGAAATCCGTTTGTTAAAATTTTTGTGTCGGGGCACAAATTTGCAAAAAATTATTCCCAGAATCAGTTTTGGAACAGAATCAATAAGCACAAAAAAGTAACTTCTTGATTCTGGAACAATTATTCTATTTCTAATTCTTTTTGGTTTTCTTCTTTCTTTTTTATTTGTTCTTCATCTTCTTCCCGGTCTGCCACCGGCCTGTCGTGGGCTAGCGCTGGCGAGGACGGCCCTCGCCGCCCCAGGCGACGGCGAGGTCGGCCCTCGCCGCCCCAGGCGACGACGAGGTCGGCCTCGCCTTGGCCGGGCGAGACTCGACCTTGCCATCATCTGGCGAGGCCGACCTCGTCGTCGCCACCCCCAGCGACGATGAGGTCAGCCTCGCTAGATCTGGGTGAGGTCAAGCCTCACCCAGCCAAGGCGAAGCCGACCTCCCCATCGCGATCGGCGAGGGCAGTGGCAAGGGCTGCTACGCCCTCGCTGGCCTTGGCTTGTGGCCGGTTGCCGGCGCCGGTGACCGGCCACGGCCAAGGAAAGGAACGAAAAGAAAGAAAAAAAGAAGAAGAAATAAATATTAAAAAATTCAAAATATTATTAAAAAATTATAAATAAAATGAAATTTTGTGTAGTTACCAAACACATTTTTGTTCTTTTTTTATTTTAAGAATAGAAATTTTGGGTAGTTACCAAATGCATTCAAATGCTTATAAATTGTTCCCTGGTACGGAATAAAAAAGAATCATTTCTGAACAGAATCGGTTCTCGGGTATAGAATCGTTACTATGCGCACTGTTATCCTTCCTTTTGAGAAAGCATGTTGCAGTGCGCATGTGTGGTCCTTTGTGTATGATGGTTCTACCTACTGTTTGTAGTATTGTCCTAAAAATGTGTGCTTATACTATTACTGTATTACCTTGGCTCTGCCTATGAAAGGTAACTTCTTGACGAGCTTGAAGAAGATTAGAGTTCGAAAAAATCGCGTGTTCATATACACACTGGATTTCTAAACACTTTATTTTCTTTCTCATGGACGTTTCATGAGCTTTTCAAGTAAGGGTTAATATCACGAAAAACTCCAAATTATTATATCTGTGATAGATTTACCCCGAATTAATTTTTTGATCACAAAACATCCAAACTGATACACTTGTGACAAATTTAGTCCGAACTAATTTTTTGACCACAAAAAACCCCAAATTAATACACCTGTGACAAATTTACTCAGCGTTAAATTGTATTAATACTACGAAAAATCACAAATTGATAAATCTGTGAATAACGGAGGGATAAAATCCAAAATTGATATACTTGTCAATTACCAAGTGTCATCTGACTAAGCAATTTAATGGTAAAATTAACGGAAGGTAAATTTGTCATAAATATATCAGTTTGATGTTATTGGGTAAATTTACTAATGGTGTAGCAGTTTGACGTTTTTTGTGATATTAACCTTCTAAGTAATTTACTTTTACGGCCATGCCTTTAGATTATAATAAAATAGTTAGGGTTAAGATTGTGAAATGACCCCTTTTTCAGTTTAATTTGGAGGTTAGAGTTGTGCAATGCTGTTCTGTTCATCTTTTTGTCACCCCTTTAAGCTGTGCCATATTGTTAGAGGTCTTTTTGCCAAAAGTTGTGTCATGCTATGTTCTTGACCTCTAAATTAAGGAATCGGCTGCTCCACTGATCATGTGTGTGTGTGTGTTTTTAAATAATCCACTAACGTTGTGTTTATAGACAAGACGGCATGGAATTATTTGCCAGCCTTCACACTGTACACCCACACATCAATGGACTATTCCTCTAGAAAGTACAAAACACACACGGCAGAGGTAGAACATCTATCAAAATTAAAAGAAATCCTTTAAGTGGATAACTGAAAAAGAATTTAAGGAAAAAAGTCATAAAAAAATCTCAAATTATATTCACTGTGATACATTTATCTTGAATATTTTTTTTTTGCGACATCTAAAACCCCAAACTATATCCATAGTGACAAATTTACTCTAAACCTTTTTCTTGTGATATCAAAAACCTCAAATTTATGCTTGTGTGACACATTCATCATCCGTTAAGGTTCCGTTTGATATTTTTTTAGCCGAAATGACGTCGTTTTCATTTCACTAAAGTGGTTGAGCGCCATGTTATCACCGTTTTTTTTCCGTCATCATCGTAGATTTTTAACGGTGCTTGTTGACGGAACCTAAATGGAGGGTGAATGTGTCACACATGTAAAAGTTTGAGATTTCTATTATCATAAAAAAATTTATAATAAATGTGTCACAATGATATAATTTGGGACTTTTGGTGGCTTTTTTCAATTTTTAATATAAAGCCATCAATTCTCGAAAGTTTGAAATTTTGGACCTTAAAAAGCAATATGATGTAGTAAACCTTTATTCTTGTCAATCATTTTTCTCTATCATATATGAGGGAGGTCAGCATTTTAAGGTGGGCCGTTGGCCGTTGAAGAAGTACGTGACGACTGACGAGAGAGTAACGTCAGCGCGTGCGTCTTTTGTAGCCTGTTTGAATCTTTTGACTCTCCTATAAAGCTCGTCGTCTCGGTGCAGGGAGTGATCGAGCGAGCGAGCTCTCGAATTGTGTCTTCTCCATACTGTTCTTGCATCGACCTCGAGCGAGACGACGGCGGCGATGGCGTCGACGGTGAGGAGGATCAAGCTGGGGTCGCAGGGTCTCGAGGTCTCGGCGCAGGGGCTGGGCTGCATGGGCATGTCCGCCTACTACGGCCCTCCCAAGTCCGACCCAGACATGATCGCACTCCTCCACCACGCCGTCGGCTCCGGTGTCACCTTGCTCGACACCTCCGACAACTACGGCCCTCACACCAACGAAATCCTCCTCGGGAAGGTCGGTCTGCTTTTTGGACATTCCATTTTAAAATTTGGCGGCTTTTTAGATGAACTAGCTGGCAGTCCTCGCGCATGTATGCGTACGTTAATCAGTCTTTGTTAGCCTCCCTAATCTGATCCATTTTCTAAGATATCCTGCATCTTGGTTTTCTAATTTTGTGGGCGATTTTGGGTTTTCTTGATGGTGATTTGGTGTGGATCTTGAGCAGGCACTGAAGGGAGGGGTGAGACAGAAGGTGGAATTGGCGACCAAGTTTGGAGGCAGCTTCGTGGACGGGAAGGCGGAGGTCCGGGGCGATCCGGCGTATGTGAGGGCAGCTTGCGAGGCCAGCTTGAAGTGGCTCGACGTCGATTGCATCGACCTCTACTACCAAATCCGTATCGACACTCGCGTCCCCATCGAAGTCACTGTATGGATCCTCTCATGGAAACCGTTCCCTCTCTTAAGATTTTCTCCGAGCCGTATGATCAGTTGCTAAACTCAATTAGTGGTGATGATGCATCCTCATGGTGTTAAAAGTTTGTTCGATTTTGTGGAAGAGATTAACTACTTGTAAGATACTGTTAACTAAGACTTAAGTTCAATTGATTGTCGAGGTCCAGATGCGGCACGATGTTGTTAAAGAGGTCGTGGAATTTAGTAATTTTAGTGGCTGAGTTTGTCTTATGGGCATCTCTTGCAAGTTAAGGGTCAACGAGCATGAAAATTATTTGAAATGTTCCTTTGAGGTGAAAGTGCTATGAGGTCATCCTAATTTAGATACGAGGATCACATTGAAAGTTGTTCCTGGACTTTCCGTGGAGACATTTGATTCTTGACATGTCATTGTGAAATATGAAAAATACTTGGAATACTTCTTTTATTTGCCCTCTTCAGTGATAAATTAGAGAAATCTATCCCCGTTAACTTAATGCGTAGCAACTTTTTTGTTGTTTTTAGATGCATAAAGATTGATCTTTGTTGTGTTGTCATGTG